TCACACCAATAAAGATTGAAAATAAAATATAACAGAATGGTGACATCATGTCCATTGTTTCGTATCATAGTTCATCGATATCCAGTACTCGACCTCAAACAGATTCTCAATCCTTCATTGCAGAGTTCATAGTCACTATACAATTAAGTGTGTAAACAAAAACATTTTCAGTTTCTTCTGAAAAGAAATGTTATTACTTTCAAAAATTAAAAATCTAGGTAATGCATTCCATGCAATCATAGCTTTATAGTGAAAAGATCGTTGAATTTGATTTGTTCTACTGCGTGGTAAAACACACTTCATCTCATTTATCTGTCGTGTGTGTGTGTGTGTGTGTGTGTGTGTGTGTGTGTGTGTGTGTGTCTGAATGAGTGAGCATGCAGAGAGGCATAGAGCAGCACATATTACATTCAGTTGATGAGTCTGTGGTCAAGAATTAATAAACATAAATTTTCCATAACAGGCTCCATCATCACGACCCAAGGATCACCATAATGTGGTCACATACAGAATATTTTACTGTAATATGCAGTAAATATACTCAATACTTGAATGCCTGACAACACGTAACCCGCCCAGAGTAACCTTTGACCCACCTCGTGTGGACTGACCAATGAGGAGAGGGTCTTAACTTGAGGCCCTCTCTTCATTGGTCAGTCTGCATAAGACTGACTCTCAACTGACGTTCAGTCATAGGCAGCGAAGTGTCTCTGTGCAGCGCAAAAGCCCGGGTGGACAGTTTGTTTAATGTAGGGTGATCATATTTCCATTTCCAAACAAGAGGACAGGGGATCTGTGCCTATGATGTCACACTATGGCAACGCCACACAAACCATGTTGGGCCCCATTTTTTGTAAGAACTAAATTAATATCAGATTCTGCCAATAAAAGGGCTCTAAAACAATTCATATGTAAATATTTAGCATATTTAATGCAAAATCTCATTTTTCTGCTTTAGTGCTGCAACAAGGTTTTATTAATAATAAATTATTATACCTTTTGTTTTACTACAGCATCGGTAAGCTTCCTGTGCACAGATTATTAAGGATGCTTGTTTCAGCTGTGAGATTAGACGATAGGATCAATGAAAAAATAAGTTGTCACACACTCCATGGAAACTTTCAGAGAATCCACAAATAGTGGCTTTCAAATGGTTTTGTTACTTTTAGCAAGTTTAGAAAAGCAGCAGATGAGACAGCATGTCTGATAATTTAGTTTTTCATCTGATAATATTAGAGCATGTCAGTAATGTCTGAGGGGCTTTTATAAACACCGTATAACTAACACTACTGGAGAGGGTAACAATTACACAGAGGCTTCTGGGGGGCCCAGTTATGGGGGGGTGGGGGTGGGGGGGTGGGGTGGGGGGGTGGGGGGTTGTGGGGGGGGTTCTGTTTGCCTTGGCCCCCAAAATGTCTTGAAACAGCCCTGGGTGTGTGACTGAGTGTTGAAGGTGATCTGAATTGTATCAGATAACGTGTAGAGGAGATAAATCTACTTTGTTTTCCTGTTTTTATTGAACTATTTCCTGTCCTGTCTGTCTCTCATCTTCCTGCATCTCCTCTTAATTCTCCAGAAAATCTGCTGCCTGGATTCTTACTTTTTCACCTCATCAGTTACTTCTGAGCAGATCAAAGATCTCCTGACCGCAAAGCGGAGAGCGCGTTTCGATGCTGCGTCAGTGAGGTGACATCACCGCAGCACAGGTGATGAGCTCCGCAGTAGCAGAGCGCTTCAGGCACAGATAAGACAGAAAGTAGAGAACATGTGCGGACATGAACCATCGTGTGTTCATTATAGTTTTTTGGTTTGAGAATGGACCGTGCGCTGGACGCAGCAGCCTGGAGCGCTGCGCACCAACGATCATCGCTCTGCTGCTCTCTGCTCAAAGAACCCCCGGTACGCCGAGAGTACATAAATGATGTAATAAAGGTAGAAAACGTTTTTTTTTGGCCCTCCCTGGATGTGTAGGATATCCAGCTCCCCCATAATTTTATCCCTGCTCCTGGATGAAAAACAGACATTTTTTATCAATACAAGAACCCCCCGGGCGCCCAGAAAGAGGGTGAAGTGGACATGTCCGGGGAAAAGAAGACGTACGGTCACCCTAGTTTAATATAAAGCGGGAGATTACAGATACAGGATTTTGCTCGTGCCCTTGCTGCCCTGGGCCCTTTAGGGTTCGTAGACCCCTGGGCAATTGCCCAGTTGCCCGTATGGTTAATCCGACCTTGACTCCACCTCCCTCTACTCCCCCACTGGTCCAGATTTAGGCTAACATCAGATTTTAACCATAGGCCCTATCAAATAAAAATGTTTTAAGCCTATTCTTAAAAGTAGACAAGGTGTCTGCCTCACGGACTAAAGCTGGGAGCTGGTTCCACAGGAGAGGAGCCTGATAACTAAAAGATCTGCCTCCCATCCTAAGTTTAGATATTCTGGGAACCACCAGTAGACCTGCAGTCTGAGAGCGAAGTGCTCGGTTAGGAACATATGGAACAATCAGATCACTGATGTATGATGGAGCTTGATTATTAAGAGCTTTATATGTGAGAAGAAGGATCTTAAAATCTATTCTGAATTTAACAGGTAGCCAATGTAGGGAAGCTAAGACAGGAGAGATATGATCACACACACACACACACACACACACACACACACACACACACACACACACACACACACACACACACACACACACACACACACACAGGTTTATTTCCGGTTACCGGGCTGGTCAGACGGTGGAGAATGATGAACGGTGGGTGCTGAACATCATCTGTAACGCGAGCAGGGGACCGACCATTTCCTCTGCGCTGACAAGGACGAGCAGGAGGCTGGTGGAGGAAGAAGAGAGAGGCTGAATGTGATCAGAGGGGAGGAAGCCGAGGGTGAGGAGGGATAGCTCCAACAGCTTGCCGCATTGTCAAGGACACATCAAGGGGAGATTGAGAGAGAGGGGAAGAAGAGATGAGGAGAGCCGTGGGAGAGGAGGAGGAGGCCAGGAGGAGAAGGAGGGGTGGAGGCTAATGAAAGGAGGAAACAGCTCCCTGTGATTACTCAGCAGAAGGTCACCTGTTCAGTGTCTGCTCGCCGTGGCCTGTTGAGCCTCTGCACCGCCGGCAGCATCGAGTCCCTGCAGCAGGAGCATTCCAGCCAACCCCCACCGCTGGCAGCCAATCAGAATAAAAACTTACATTGAAAGAAAAGCTCCACCATACTGGGGCAATGACATCACCTGTTGCTAGGCAGAAAGCTGTTAGACACAGGAAGCCCTGGACCTCACAAACTGGTCACCATAGAAACTAGTGAGGCTGGGAGGTTCGAGACGTGAACTTTTAAAGACTTCTGTTACTTCTGCAGACGTGTGGACAACGTCCTACCCGTCCTCGGTGTCCTCTCACAAAGACGAAAGGACTTGAGGTGGTTTGATAAAAATGAACCCTGTAGGCACCCGTCGCTCATCTGCATCGCTTCACAGATGTTCGTGACGAAGGAGACGGCGTTGGAGTGGGCGTGCCAATGCTTCCTCCTCAAGTCCAACCTTCCAGGCCTTGGTGGCGTCGTCCATCCTGTTGACTGAAGCGCAGCCCCGCTGGGTCTGTGGCGTCCCTGGAACGGCTTCCACACGCTGTTCTCCTGAAGCTGTTGGAACGTTTGATGAAAACTTGTTGGAGAATGGAGACAAACTGCTTTCAGAGACACGGGAGGGAAGTGGCGGTGTGTGTTCTGGTCCAGTGAGTCGCTACCAGAAGATACGGAAATCCTTAAAATCTCGGCTTTAAGTTAACAGCTTCATCCTCATGGGGCAGTGGTCCGCAGCTGGCGGCCCGCGGGCCAAATCCGGCCAGCCGGACCTTTCCACCCGGCCCCCAACCGGTTGGGCCTTCAGATGTAAGTATTGTCGTGCTGTAGCTCTACAGGAAGGTCAGAGCCGTGCCTACAAGACCATGTCAACATTTTTATGAGATTCAAACACAAATAAAGCTACGACCATAAATCCCTCGTGTGTGTTTTTGCCTTTACTTCTGTCTTGCTGCTAGAAATCAGACTGCACACACATTAACCCTCACCCCATCCACCCTGCTGATGCTAAACATGATTCTCACCACTCTCTACACCAGTGAACCTTAAATGGTGGCCTGTGGGCCACATCTGGTCCGCCAGACCTTTCAACCCGGCCCCCAAAAACAACTGAACCAAGAACAGAGAAAATGCATCTTCTGCTATTTTTCTATTTTAAATTAAACAAACTAAACCAGCATTTAATCAAAAATGATTAAAAATTCCTAGCGACAACATCTAGGTGAACTTTAAACTCAACAACACCCTCAGACAGAAACTGGTCCATCCTAAAGACCGGACACCCGTGCGGTCCGGTGCGGCGAGGACGGTCCAGATTAATCCACAGAGGAAAGTACGGTAAACATCTACACAACACAGGAGAGCACCTCTTCAGGTCAACGCTCTGCAGTCCACCTGCACCCGAAGACCAAGGACACTCTTGAAGATGACAAAGTCCACATTGTGGACAGAGACGATGGATGGGTGGAGAGAGGAGTAGAAGAAGCCATGTGTAGCAGAGAACACACCGAGATGAAACAGAGGAGGAGGACTCGGGTTTCTCCTCTCTAGTGCACACACGCATCTCTGAACCCAATCTCCAACAGTTTCAGTCTAGGTCACATCCTTCTGCATCTAATGCATGCAACCACCCCGCCCAGTGGAGGCAAACACCTCATCAGGGAGAGGGAGGAGGGGTCTGGGTAGAAAGTTTCTACTCATCAAGCAACAACAGCTAGAGTTCGTAAGCGTGGCCCTCCCACAGTCCAGCCAGAATGACCAAGGGACAGGAGACGGTCTCCTGTCCAGTACAGGGACAGGTCTAGGGACCCTCTAGCGTTTCCATAGTGATGTGGTCTGTGGGAGGAAAACCACACGTGCATGGGGGATGACTTTTGCTTTTGTGGACTGAAATCTTTCCCTGTTTGATCCTGCAGGTCTCAGCTGTGACCCGGCAGACCTGGAGCGTCGACGCCAGACTTTTGGCTGCAACTTCATTCCCCCGAAGAAGCCCAAGACCTTCCTGGAACTGGTGTGGGAGGCCCTGCAGGACGTCACCCTCATCATCCTGGAGGCTGCTGCCATCATCTCACTTGGTCTCTCCTTCTATCAGCCACCTGGGAAGGAAAGTGAATGTAAGACCCCGGGCTAGTGGGAGGCAGAGGGAATGAGTGGAGGAGATATTTGTCTATGTGGCGGGAGCCCAGCAGAACCCCGGACCAGCAGAGAGTGGCTCTTGCATTTGTGAGAAAATGGTTGATAGGCCGGGCGAGGGGAGTCAGACACACAGCTGGGCCGAGCGTGCAGCCGCCGTGCAAACCACTGAAACAGATCTATCGTGTCCTCAGTTATTCCCAGATGTGGCGGGAGAGCCTCGTGTCAGACGCTCCGGCTGCTGAACGAGTTTCATTAAAGGCAGGAATGAATGTTGTCCGCTGTTTACGACCCAAACCCGCCTCTGCCACAGCGGACCGGCGCTGGAAGGTCAGAGCGCTTATTAAAACAACAAAACCCGGTTGATCCTAGTGGATTTTAAAGCCAGCTGGAAGCGCTGTGGACTGGTCTGATTGGTGGATTGGTTTATCGACCGTTCTGATTGGTGGATTGGTTTATCGACCGTTCTGATTGGTGGATTGGTTTATCGACCGTTCTGATTGGTGGACTGGTCTGTCGACCGTTCTGATTGGTGGATTGGTCTCTTTAAAATCCAAACAAAGAAAAATCAATAATAAAAATTCTTCTTTAGTTTTCAGTCTTTATTGGCTCAAATGTACAAAGATTACAACGTTCATTTTATAAAACTTTTATTACATCAGGGCTTTACTACTGCCAGTATTCTAGTTTTTACCTTTTATTATGTTTCATTCGGTTACTTCCTGTTATCTTCTGAAGCGTGTGCGTGCTCCTAAATGCGTCGACAGAAAGAAAAGGTCAAAGGTTAATTACCTGAGTAGAGACCAACAACCAAGACGTTCAGGTTCAGCCAGCTTAATTGGGATCATCATCAAATATTAATAAAGCATCTCCTTATGACTTCATGGGTGCTTTTATTTTGAAAGGGGGCATAAAATTGGCGCAGCAGCACAGTGAATTATTGATGCAACTGAACAAAAGAGTCAGCATGTCTCACGTTAACGTCCTAAAGGGGTGACAAGTTCTTCATCCTGACTCTGGAGCTTTTACATTCATGCTTTTATTTTGACGTTCACTCCTTTGACTCAGATAAGAACTGAACGGAGGAAGTTTAAAACAAAACAATCATTGTATTATTTACTGTTTATTCATCCTGTATCCGATTGGGCTGCGACGCTGCAGGCAAAACAAGCAGGAAATGGTGTTCAAGCATGCAAAAGTCTTAATCCACCCCTCCGTTCTCTTTGTGTCTCCTTCTGAGGAGGCAGATTTCTGTTCAGGCGTTCAAACTGTCCGCATTCAGCTGGCGGTGAAACAGGAAGTGTTCTAGAGGAAGTCAGAGGGATCCAGGTGAAAAAGGAAGTGTTCTAGAGGAAGTCAGAGGGATCCAGGTGAAACAGGAAGTGTTCTAGAGGAAGTCAGAGGGATCCAGGTGAAACAGAAAGTGTTCTAGAGGAAGTCAGAGGGATCCAGGTGAAAAAGGAAGTGTTCTAGAGGAAGTCAGAGGGATCCAGGTGAAACAGGAAGTGTTCTAGAGGAAGTCAGAGGGATCCAGGTGAAAAAGGAAGTGTTCTAGAGGAAGTCAGAGGGATCCAGGTGAAAAAGGAAGTGTTCTAGAGGAAGTCAGAGGGATCCAGGTGAAAAAGGAAGTGTTCTAGAGGAAGTCAGAGGGATCCAGGTGAAAAAGGAAGTGTTCTAGAGGAAGTCAGAGGGATCCAGGTGAAAAAGGAAGTGTTCTAGAGGAAGTCAGAGGGATCCAGGTGAAAAAGGAAGTGTTCTAGAGGAAGTCAGAGGGATCCAGGTGAAACAGGAAGTGTTCTAGAGGAAGTCAGAGGGATCCAGGTGAAACAGGAAGTGTTCTAGAGGAAGTCAGAGGGATCCAGGTGAAAAAGGAAGTGTTCTAGAGGAAGTCAGAGGGATCCAGGTGAAAAAGGAAGTGTTCTAGAGAAAGTCAGAGGGATCCAGGTGAAACAGGAAGTGTTCTAGAGGAAGTCAGAGGGATCCAGGTGAAAAAGGAAGTGTTCTAGAGGAAGTCAGAGGGATCCAGGTGAAAAAGGAAGTGTTCTAGAGGAAGTCAGAGGGATCCAGGTGAAAAAGGAAGTGTTCTAGAGGAAGTCAGAGGGATCCAGGTGAAACAGGAAGTGTTCTAGAGGAAGTCAGAGGGATCCAGGTGAAACAGGAAGTGTTCTAGAGGAAGTCAGAGGGATCCAGGTGAAAAAGGAAGTGTTCTAGAGGAAGTCAGAGGGATCCAGGTGAAAAAGGAAGTGTTCTAGAGGAAGTCAGAGGGATCCAGGTGAAACAGGAAGTGTTCTAGAGGAAGTCAGAGGGATCCAGGTGAAACAGGAAGTGTTCTAGAGGAAGTCAGAGGGATCCAGGTGAAAAAGGAAGTGTTCTAGAGGAAGTCAGAGGGATCCAGGTGAAACAGGAAGTGTTCTAGAGGAAGTCAGAGGGATCCAGGTGAAAAAGGAAGTGTTCTAGAGGAAGTCAGAGGGATCCAGGTGTTGTGGGTGGAGAAGAGCAGCCTCGCGGAGAGGGTGAGAAAAGCAGGGAGTTAAAAATAAAGACAACAAGTTGTTAATGAAGCTCATCGGCTTGTGTTGCAGCAGCGTGCAGGCGGCGTGGCGGCGTGTCCCGTGAAAACGCGCTAAAGTGTGGTTCTGAATGTCACGCGGCCGATCCCGCAGTGAAACGAGCAGCCGAGCATGTTCTCAGCATTTCTGCAGGTGTGTTTTTGGGTTCTCACACCTGGTGCTGGTTCAAAGCGGCCTCGCTCTGACAGACGGACCTGCATTCGTTTATCACGTATAGATGTGGTCTGGTCAGCAGTCTGCGCCGCACCTGTGTCCTCTTTAGACACGTCTGTTGCTCTTCATCCTCATAGACCTGCAGATCACTGAAGGCACACGTGTTTTCTTCCTTCCTGTCGCTCAAAGAGAGCCGAGAACTTTTGTGTTTCCAGCTGGGATCTGTTTGTGAGGCCGCTGCGGTCAGACACGGGAAAACTAGGCGTGGCCACGGCGTGTTCACCTGCTCTGTGATGTTCCTCACTGAGGTTTAATCAAACATGTCCGCTGACGCCTGTCCTGTCCCTGCAGTGTGTGGAGATGTGAGCGGGGGAGCGGAGGACGAAGGGGAAGCTGATGCTGGCTGGATTGAGGGTGCCGCCATCTTGTTGTCCGTTGTGTGTGTCGTCCTGGTGACGGCGTTCAACGACTGGTCCAAAGAAAAGCAGTTCCGGGGTCTACAGAGTCGGATTGAGCAGGAGCAGAAGTTCACCGTGGTGCGGAAAGGAAACGTCATCCAGATCCCGGTGGCCGACATGGTGGTGGGGGACATGGCGCAGGTCAAATACGGTAAAAGTCACCACGTGTTTGCTTCTGATGATCTCAGCGTGCAGTGGGCCGTGGTGAACACATGACTGTTTGATCTGTGGATGTTCAGGTGACCTGCTGCCAGCTGATGGCATCCTGGTCCAAGGCAACGACCTGAAGATCGACGAGAGCTCGCTGACCGGAGAGTCTGACCACGTACGCAAGTCTGTAGACAAGGACCCCATGCTGCTCTCAGGTTGGTTTAAAGACTTCTCCGAGGGGATGTTGGTCTCCTGCCGCCTTTCATGTCCTCCTTATCTTCATACACAAGAGAGGCCTTGTGGAGGGCGGTCCCAGGGGCCACTAAAGGCCCCTCAGAGTGATCTTGTTTGGCACCCAACTGCAACTCAGGAACGGTAGAAAAGTTCTGTTTCGACCCGGGTTCAGAGTTTAAACACCCCGACGAGACAAACGGGTGATGATGTTCTCCCCCGCTTCACCTCACGCCCATCCCCCTCTGGACCTCAGGTCCCCAGGAGACACAAGTCAGAGGGCCTTTAAACATGTCTTCTAATCCCGTTTATGTGCCGTAGGTTTCACATTCGACTGTTTTTACAGATGCTAGGACACATTTCTCACCTCCACTAAATACGTCCCAGTCTCTCGTCCTGTCTTCTTCCACCTATCCGGGTCCAGGTCGGAGGGGCAGCAACTAGGGAGCTCCAGACCGTCCTCTCCCCGCCACCTCCACCAGCTCCTCCAGCAGCTCCTGGGCCAGATCAGAGATGTACTTTCTCCAACGTGTCCTGGGTCGACCAGGCGGCCTCGTGCCACCAGGACATGCCTGAAACGCCCCCCTGGGGAGGCGTCCAGGAGGCACCCGCGTCTGCACAAAACTAAACACACGTGTCGATGCCAAGGACGTGATGTTGGGTTACCCAGCGTGAAGAGACATGGAGCAGAGGAGTTCAGCGAGCTTCCCGTCCTTCTTCCAGAGCGACAGAAGGAGCGATAAACCACCGTAAATCTGGTCATGTGGTCAGCAGCAGCCACGCTGGCGAGAAGAGCGTCTGCTGTGACGTCTGATGTTTTATTTGAGTGTTACCCGCTAACAGGAAACCACCTAAAGTCACCGTCCCAGTCGCGTGGCTGAACTTACGTGATGAGTTTCAGCAGCAGCTTAAAGAGCAAGTTCACTGGCAAACCGGGTTTCACTTGTTTTAGAATCGTTCCCTCTGAGTTTCACACGCAGGCTGAAAATTGTCGTCTTCACATTTCCTGCGTTAGAAAATAAGATGTTAGAATTATAGATTCACTGAGATAGACGATAAAGTTTATCTCTCGCTAATAAAATATTTACTACGCAATCACAATGTGTGTGTGTGTGTGTGTGTGTGTGTGTGTGTGTGTGTGTGTGTGTGTGTGTGTGTGTGTGTGTGTTTATACTGAGCCAGGATCCTCTGGAGGTTTCTTCCTGTTAAAAGG